CTGATGTGGCGTGGAGCCCCTTAAAGGAATGCGCCCATCCCAGGGTCAGAGCTCCGCTTTCAGTGCCCTTCCTGGGTAGAGACTTTAGACCTTGCATGTGGTTGGGTGCTGGCCAGATTTCATTCTCAGGAATCAGGAACACCAGAAAGGGAAACCCATTCCCGTGTAAGTATCAGCTGCATGATGGAGGTCCCCGGTATTAATCCTCAGTCGCTGTGTGTGCTGCTGCCTCCGTGATCACTGGCTTCTTCCGTCTTGAGTTAACGCCAAGCGAGTGATGCTACTGAAAACATCTTTAGCAGTAAGTGCCCTTTGACTGGCTGGACTGATGTGCCCTAGTTCATGTCCTCTGACCTCTGAATGGGAGGCCTCAGAGAGAGAAGAGAAGTCAGAGAAGATGACAGCTCCTGCCTGGAGTGGCAGTGGACTGAAAGGCCCGAGAAAATGGTATGGTTCACAAAAAGATGATGCAATGGCCAGGAGAACTGGGATATCTCTTAGACACCTTGGATCCAAGCTAAACCAGTTCCGTCCAGTTCCATTTGCAAAGCAACGCATTGTGGAGGGATCTGCCAAGGGGTCCACCAATAAAAGATAAGAGTCAGAAGATCATCCTAAGCTGTTTTGACTTTGTTTCTTCAGTCTGAGCCTTGATACATGCTTTGAGTGTGTCATTAATGCTTTACGGTTTATCCGTGCCACTTACCTGCTATTGCTAGCATAAATGACATGGCCTAGTCTGCCAAGGTGTTTTTTTCTTTTTTTGCATGTGAGCAGGTGTGGAAAGAATAGTACAGTTGTGAATTGTCCTATTAAACATTCTTTCTGACTCTCATTTTGTGGGCAGCCTAAATGGGAAACTCTTTTATTTCTTCCTAGCTCACATAGGAGCCGTTGGGTAAAGGAGTTGAACTTCTTTCTGACCTACTTGATTTCGTTCTGATTCCAGGAGGGTCTTCAGGTCCAAAGAAGATATATACTACTTATACAATTCGTTTAATTTAATTTTAACATTCGCAAATAGTGCTTTCTAGAGGTAGGATTTCCATTCCGTGCTCTGACTTGATTTAAAATGAAGGTGGGGAATATGTTATAAAGGTAATCAACAAGGACCTACTCTATAGCACAGGGAACTCAATAGTCTGTAATAACCTAGATGGGAAAAGAATCTGAAAAAGAATGGATATATGTATATGTATAACTGAATCACTTTGCTGTACACCTGAAACTAACACAGCATTATAAATCAACTCTACTCCAATGTAAAATACAAATTTAAAAAAAATAAAATGAAAGTAGGGAAATAGTAATCCAGGGGTTCATGGTCTGGTTTCAGGTCCTATATGTTGAAGCTTCTGTTGCTATTTAGTAAGAGTGATAGACTTTTGTGAAGAGTGTGGTCTGCCTGATCAGTGCAGGGCCGAGGAGTACGAGTGTAGCATAATTAAAGCTCCACTGTAAAACAGGAAGTGATGAAGTTCTGCTTCACAAAGGACCTTGATAGTAGTGGGACAGAGGGTAGAGTGGGGAGTAAAGAAAATCTTAAGTAATCCCCAAATTTTAAGATGAAGATCCTAGCCATTGTTACCATCTGGATTTAATGTATGTTTTACATTCTTCCGAATCATAATACTACCATAGGAGAGCCTTATTGTAACCCTGGTTTCAGGGGGCAGGAGTAGTAGCCGTGCTCCACTTTATAACTGTTACCCTTTCAAAGTGCCTCCGTTTCCTCCAGCGTACCTTCTCCTGGGAATTCACAGGTAGGTTGAATGGCTGTTGGCTCCAATTCACAAATGGGAAGCCTGATGTAGAGAGAAGTTACACCTGGATCACACCTGGATCCCAGCAGGTGAGGGCAGGTTAGTGAGAGAGGGACAGCCTTGCCCACCACGCTCACTCTCTCCCCAGATGCCCTGATGTGGTGCTGGACCCTGCATCCATGGGCTGCCGGAGAGCAGTTAGCGTGAAAGGAGAGAAGGAAGCGAGGCCTATAGGCTGCCTACTAGAACATTCTAGGTGGCCCATTTACTCACTTCTCACACAGCCTTTGAGACTAAGCAGTTTCTTCTGTATTCTACAATAAGGAACCGAGGCCCTGGTCTCACACAGCTGGTAATCACAGATCCAAGATCCAAACCCACCTCTGTCTGAAGGGGGAGCCGCCGTTCCAGGCCAGCGCATTACCTACCAGGCTACCAGAGGAAACTGTGGCGGTCTGACGACCTCCCTGTCACTTGTATCTGTCCGTCTATCTGTGATTCGGGAAGAGACCTCTTTATATTCACATGGGACTGAATGGCTGGTTTGAGCATAAGGAGATATAGTGAGATTAACTCTGTGACGTAATTGTGTGATTGAGCAAAGCACACACCTTGGGAATTCATGTTTCCTTTCAACAAGTATTTACTGAGTAATTACTATGTGTAAAACGCTGTGCTGGGTGCTGGGGGATAACCTTAAATGAGCAGTAAATCCATTTTTCCCTCTCACTTCAAATGAAGCTTATTCTAGTTCACAGTATTGCTAATCATTGACCCTGAAGTACTTTATTAGTGCTGAAAGTTACATAAACACAATCAATAGGGGAATAGAGTATTCTTTTTGTCTTTCTAAATACCGCCACCATCACAATTAAACTTTATTAATTGCTTTTTTTTTTTTGTAAGATGCTTATACCAACTGTAATTTGTCTGGCCAATTTTGTACTTGATAGTCTGTGGACTGACCTACTTTGCATTTTTTTTAAAAAAAAATCTCTTTGTTAGTGATTTTTTAAACTCATCTTTACTTTTCTATTTTCCATAGGACAACTGGGAAAATCATTTGAAGCCCAAACTCTAATTATCTTCTCCCTAACAGCAAAGGCAATTCTGATGAAATTTGTGCCCTCTTAAAGCTAATAAATTAGTCTGAGGGGAAATTTCTTAAACCCATATGTATGTAGTAAACAGATAAATGAAGGTCATCTTCAGAGACTGCACTATTCTTTTCAATTTCCAGAGCATCCAATACGTACTTATTGAGGGCCTAGTCTGGTCACTGTTCAGAGAATCCCAAAAGAAAAATCCCTACCATCGTGAAGCTTATGTTGCAGTGTTCATCTATATTTGTTGGCAGAGCTGTCCACGAAATGCTGTTAAGTGTTTTGTGTAGAAGCGATTTAAATTTAAATATATCCTGTATGCAACAACATAGCTGAACCTCATAAAGGAAATGTGCTAAGGAAGCCAAACTCAGAAGAGTCCATGCTGTATAAGTCCATTTATATAGCACAAAACTCAGCACTAATCTGTGGTTTGTGAAAATTCATCAGGGTGTGTGTGTATGGTCTGTGCACTTTCTATATGTATATCTTACTTCAGTAAAACATGAATTAAAATATTCCAATAGACCCAGAAATACATACCAACTGTTCATTGATCATTCCTAGATTAGCCATCCATTAAGAATAACTTCTCTCCTCGTTTCCGTAGATAATTTAGAAAACGCTATATTTGAATGTCTATTCTAGTAGGCCTGTTAATTAACTGGGAAACATTTTAACGGGGCTTCAGAATTAACACTGTTAATTCTGGGTAGAATTAACACTGATTATGCACTCTTTCTTGCTGTGAAGGAATCCATCTGCCTCCATGCAGTGATGGTTTTGGAAAATTGAGGGTATTAATTTAACCTTTAGCACCTTCTGAAACTACTCCCCAGAGAAACAGAAAATGGGTCTTACTTCTGGAAGAGAGACATTCACAAACACTTTCCTCTTCTTGATTTTGGCCATTCCAACAGAAACTTTGGGTTTTTAACTAGTGTCATTGCCTTCGCTGTGCATGAAAATAATTATTAATGAATCAGACTGTTGTAGAATGACGAAGGTATCAGAGAGAAGGGTGTATGTGTGTGTCCACCCATGTGCTTTGGAGTGTTTTCTCTAAGATCATTGGAAGAGATCTTTAGAAATTACTCTTTTCCCTATAAATTGTTATAAACTGAACACAGGATCAGGTAATTTTTGCTGAAAACCCGCACATTTAATTTATTGGACTGAAAGCAGGACATTTTTTCTTTACTCAAAAAATTCTTTGTCCGCCATCAGAATGCATGAATGAACAGCCTTTCAGGGCATAGGTAAGAACCTTCTCTTGATACTCTCCTTTGCTGAAAGAGTCATTTGTGGGAGCTGCTTTTTTTAAATGTGCTTAAAATAGGCCCTCATAATGTTCTAGTTTTTATTTTCTAATTTGACCTTTATCTTTGTTTTATCAGACGCATTAAAACTTAAAATGCCTATATCGAAGAAGGTACAACTTTGTAGATCTAAATAATCAGAAGAATATAAAAGATTGTTTTAAAAAAAGTCATTATTTTTTAAGTTGTGGAGTATCGTCCACGTCTGGTTTTGATTAAAGCTGCCAGTTTTCTAGGAATTGTGGTTTTTGTCAGATGCATGCGGAAGGCACTGATTGGGGTTCTGGTTGGGGTTCTGGTTTGCTTTCAGAAAACTGCAGAAACACTCTTTGATGTTATTTGTGCAAGTGCATTAACACATCAGGGAAAGGGTCAGTAAGTGTGTGCTTCTATGCTGGGTGTCCATTACAGCCCATTACTCTGCACAGAAAGGCAAAGAACAGTTCAGCTGTTTGTGAACCATCTTAATACATGTTTGGGTTTTTCTAAGCGCCTTCTCTAAACATTGTGGGTTGCACCTAAGCCTTCTTGTGTTTATATTGAACAGATTCTTTCTTTGTGGGTAGCATGGGGATTTTTTTCATTTCTCCTCTGGGTTTTACTACACATTTTGCATTCTTCAGAAATGTCAAGACTTTGCTTTCATTTTCAGCAGTTAATGAATATTACTAATTGTCTAATGACACTTCTCTTCCAGTATGATCAGCAAAAAAGGTTTGGCACACATACATTTCACTTGTAGTTTTTATTTCCAGCGTGGTTACAGCATTAACCTTCGTCTTACCAATCCTCTAATTTTGTATTTGGTCTTATAGATACGGACCGAGAACTCCTGTGTCTGATGACGCAGAGTAAGTTGTCTTGTATTTGTAGGAATACATTAATTACTAGCCTAAACTGCATGCTTCCAGTACTCACCACTAATTGAAATGCAATTAATATAACCGTGGATTGAAGAGCTAACTGACTCTTCTCTGCAGCCTCAGAGAAGCACTTGAAGTTGGAATGCAGAACATACGTTCTGTGCAGGAGAGATGAATGAAAAAGCCACTGAAGCATGATTCTAATATGCAGCTGCTGCTTAAAAGTTTACTTTTTATAGACAGAGCATGTGCAAGTTGTTCTTGTTAGTGTTCGGACGTTGGAACCCCTTCTGAACCACGGAATTGTTAAAAGGCTTTTCTGTGCTTTGCATTGAATTCTTGATACGTAAAGGCTTAGCCATGAAGTGGTCATTCTCGTAGCTCCATTTTTTTTAAGCTAAGAAAGTAAATCCTAAGCCACGAATGATAGATTCAGAAGCCCAAGTTCCTCCCAGGTTGGAATAATATGAACTGTGGGCTGCTTGAGACCAAAACGTTGGGATTTCGTTCAAGTTCCGTGGCATAGTCGGGGGTCAAAATGTACAACATGACTTGGGCTGCCTCTCCTTGGTTTCCTCAGCTCTCAGAGATGCATTTCCCATCCCCGGCCTAACATCCAGATTTGAAAAGAATCCACTCTCTCCCGTTTGTGACCACATTAACTCCATTTCAAAAATGGATTTCTCATAGACAGAGCATTCTGAAACTGATATCCAAGGCAGAAGTTTTCTTTGCAGAATGCTCAGGTTTAAGAAACATGATTACTATCTCATTCCAACAATAGCGGCCCACTAAGCCTGATGTCTGCCCTCCGGGAGAGGGATTTTGTGGCCTAGTGGGAATCTGGGCCATCATAAGAGTGGACCCTAGTATTCCCTCTGCCTGTCTTCCTGGCCTGATCCATAGTTTCAAGTCACCGAGTGAGGAATCTAAATAACAGTGTAGAACAGACAAACATCATTCCACCAATGACAACGAGATCAGGCCACAATTGACTGTTTTTGAATTGTGCTTTTTCCATGTTTGTGTTCAAGAGGTCAGCTTAGTCTGTACTTGTAGCTCGAAGCAGTCTGACTCGTGTGCCAAGGGTATCGGTTTCCGATGTGTGATGCACGATTGCTCTGTGGCCTGACACATGGAACATTCATGTCTCAAAACCAAATTCAGCCGGAGCTTGACTGACTGCATGAAGCTAAGTAGTCTATAAAATTGAGCCCTGGTTGTTGCTTTTAAAATCTACAGTGGCAGTATTTAACGTTCACTGAAAAGAGGGTTATGTAAGATTGATAGGCAAAACACTTCTTTGATTTGGTTAGCAAAAACATTTTGATAGAATGGATTTACTCTTCATCATTGCAAAGCTGCTGTGCAATTTGCCTAATACAGATCTCTAAAAAACCCTAAAAACTGAAAGAAAAGAAGCTACATTAAAGAGCTTTTGAATTTTACCTGTACCTGAATATGAAACCTCACCCTCAGGAGAAGTTAATGATTTTTTTTTAAAAAAAATCATTTTTTTAAAATGATTTTTAAATCATTTAAAAATGATTTAAATGGGTGGGAGTGGGGACTCCTCTAAATTTACCAAAACAGCAGCCTTATGGGCCAGGGTGAGTATACAGAGCTTCTTTTCCAAAGGTCTTATCGAGCAACATCCAAAGGGCTGCATTTCTTTCTTGGAGTAGACATAATTTATATGAAACCATGTGGGGAACAAAAAGAAAAGTTTATGTCAGGGTTTTGTTTTTTTTTAAACAGAAATTCATAACATGTTTTGTTCATTCCCCCACTATCTCCCTTTTTCAAAATCTTTAAGGACAACTATTGGCACAGACTCTATTTGTTCATAATTGACACATTCTTAAAATGCAACCCAATCAAAAAAAGATGTGCCCTTTAAGGAAAATGCAGGTCAGGGGCAGACCTACCACACAGGCAAACAGAAATTTCCACCTCCTGGCAAGCCACGAATGGCTCCCTGGATTTAGTTTCACCTTCTTGCCCTTTACTTCCACATGCCTCCTCTCCCAGCGGTCCCCTCCGAGGAGGCTGGACACTGTGAGAGCCAAAGGCCATTTTGTTCTTAATTCCCTTACCTTAGACTTGGGCCAGAAACAGTTTCCAGGCTCCCCTTGAGGTAATTTAATCCTGGCCCTCAGAAATGCCAACCTGTCACCGAGAGAGGCTCCTGGGCCTTGCAGCCAGGGGCCCGTGTCCCAGCAGCCCAAGGGCACGGCCTGTTGTGCTGAGAAGTATAGCCTTGGTGCAAGTCCATTTAACATTCTGGAACCTAGGCTTCTGCAGGGTCCCCCACCCCATCCCTAGACAGGTACTTCTTCATTTTGGAGGCTGAGTCCAACCTCTGAATTAGGGAACATTTTCTGAATGGTGACTCAGCTCATTTTCTGTCTACTATTATCAGTTCTGAGCTTGCTTAGTTCGTTTTTTTTTGAAATGGTATAAAGATATCACTCATAGTTTTATTATTTCTTTTTTGGGCCAGTTGACTGGTGTTTCTTTAAAAAAAAAAAAAAAAACTCTAGGAAAAAAATAGTACTTCCTGGTATGTGAGAAGGCAGGCAAGTGTTTCTCTTTTTATTTCACTAACAAGCTTTTGGCCACATTCGGGCTGAGGTAGTTAAAACTTCATGGTGGGAGCAGAGATAGGAACCCGGGACAGAAGAAGGCAGTTCTGAAGGCCTTGCTCCCATCCTCTCCATGCCGGTCGAGTGAGATAAACAATTCTCAAATCCTGGAGGAAGCTGCCATTTTCTTCCCGGGGTCCCAAAAGAAGTCCTTGCTCTATGGCCACCCACTGTGGCCTAAACCAAAATTCTGCCCTTTAAAAATTATAGATGGCAAAGCTGAAGGAAGGGACCTCCTTCCTCTCCCACAATCTGCCAACTATTTAGTAGATTACAAGAGAGTCCCAGCTCAGAGGAGTTTATATCTTCTAAGACCTTCACAAAGCCTGTAAATTGCCTTAAAAGATGAACTGACTGAATCAGACATATTTCAAGGTAAGACTTTTTTGAACTCTGAAAGGAAGAATGGGATGAGTTTTGGTCCCTTTCTGGAAAGCTTGTTGAAGGGAATTTTGATCCATGAAGTTTCAAAACCATGGGTTAGACTTTTCTACCTAACTCTGCAAATTCCTAAATCTTCCTTAAACCACATTAATAAACAGCGTAAGCTAGGTGAAAAATCGCAGCCCCTCCTCTCTTCTGAGGGCTCCCGTTTACCTTTCAGGAAAGTACAGCTGCCACAATCAACACTGTCCCCTGAGTCTGTGGACAGCTCCTCACGTGGTGTGTCATGTCCATGCGAACAGAAGCCTCAGATCAAAGAACGTCCCTTGGCGCAGATTATTAGAATACTCTTGGGGAAAGCAGATTACAAGTGTAGCCTTCAGTGTTAGCTCTCTTAGGTCAGACTCAAATTTTTCAGCATCCAGAGAGAGGGGAGAGGCACCCACACATCCATGCAAGTTCATTTGGGTGGACCGAAATGAACGTGGGCAGCCATTGCTTTGGGGTCATCTTCTCCTTCCAGAGAGCTGCCTGCTGAGGAACCCACTAGCATCCGGTGATGCTGCTACTGTGCACTGTCTGGCCATGGGCATGACTATTTTGGACATCACTGCTGATGTCTGGAACTAGTTGGCGTCTCAATGCATGGCTTTTCTTTTTCTTTGTGTTAAGCTGGCTTCAAAAATGGACTATCGGTCTTCTGTTCTTAAACAGCCCTCCACTCGATTTGAGTGTTCTATAACCCATTTGGTTCCCAGAGTTAGTCATTTCTTTGAGAGAAAAAAACGGGAAGATTTTGCTTTGGTTTTTATTTCTATTTTCATCTTGCTGCTTCAGCTTTCGTTGTAGCAAAGGTCTACATAAGCATCGCAGCAAAGGCCCTACGGTCTTGCCCAACATTTAATAAGCTCCTATAGAATATATCAATTATATGAACAGCCTAAAGGTTTTTAAAAATTGCTTTCCCAATGCTATTGCTTTTAAAAGAGTAGATTCAGAGGTATCCTGACAAAAATAAAGTGAAATCATGGTGAGAACTTTAGGATACAAAGTATATACTGATTTATATATTTTATCCTTTAATCTTACCATAAAATATTTTCTTGATTCCAAGGTGCCATCAACACACTATCAATTTACAGACAGTTTTACAGGACATAGAAATAAACCACATCAGACGTATATTTCATTAATACATAGCTGTTGGATGCAACCAAAATTCAGAAAATACAACAGGAAAAGGTGGTGCCTTAGACTTGAAGCTGTATGACATATTTTTTTTCTTTTTGAAAATGGAGAAATTGCCTCAGTTAACGGAGAAAGCATTTAAGCCAGCTCTTTACACAAAGAAGCATTTACTGCAATTAAGTTTCACTTCAGGGGACACCACTCTCCCTCGCTATCAATTCTCCCCAAGTTATACATTTTAACTCTCTTCATTTTACTTTCTAATACAAGTGAGACGAGCCCAGAGCTTCAAATACCTTTTTCTAGCCCTTTACTTTAAACATATATTGACCCCTACATATAAAATTAGATTGGCCTGATTCTGCCATCACTGAAGACAAAGATGGTCACATTTTTGCTTTTTGCCGCAAAAGGAGAAGAGGTGAGGCTGCTAGCATGCCCGCTGCTGCAGGCCGAGGGATGAACAGACTGCAAATCACGCTGCTGCCTTAAGCTGTGGAGGGAAGGGGGCAGTTTTTCCAAACGCGAGAGCGCCCCGCCGCGGCGGGACGTTGCAAATGCGCGGAGACTTGCGGGGCACTGATCCCTGTCCACCGTCGTCTGCTCTCTCCACACGCAGGAGCACGAGTATGTTCGACATGCGGTGTGAGGAGGAGGCCAAGGTGCAGCCGCACAGCAGGGCCCGCCAGGAGCAGCTGCAGCTGATAAACAACCAGCTGCGGGAAGAGGATGACAAATGGCAAGATGTGAGTGCCGTGCAGGGCCGTGGGCAGCGGGGAGACTGCTCTGCCCGCTGGGCTAGAGGCCCTTTGGAGCAGAAAATCAAGCGGGGCTGGAAAATCAGACTTGGGCTGGAAAGCCATGCAGAGGAAGGGCGCCCCTAGAGGGCTTCAAACGGTGACACAGTCCATGTGGGCATTAGGGAAAGTACCCTTGCTGAAGTTTGGCCACAAAAAAGAGGGGAGCAGAAGGGAGGCAACTGGCACGGGATGCAGAATTGAGGAGGGACTGTCTTTTGAGACTATATATTTGGAATCGATGATAATAATGATGATGACAATGATAACTGCCAACATCGAGAGCGTACCGGTAACAGGTACTATTCTAAGTACCTTGCATGTCATCACTCTTTAATCCTCTCAATAATTCAATGAGCTAGCAACTATGATGGTCCTCAGTTCTACAGATGAGTCCCAGAACAGCTAAGTAACCTGTCCAAAGTCACACAGCTAGTGAGCTAGAGAGCCAGGATTGTAACCAGTAAGGAAGGCTCCAGGGCCTGACGGGGGCCTTGGGATCATCTGTGTGCTAAGAGCAAAGAGCCAGGGCAGGGGAGAAGCCTAGAGATAGGGATGAGAGGAGGAAGAGTGGATTACTTCATCCTCACAGAGCCCTCTGAGGTGGCTACTGCAGATTTGCCTCTACCTTTCGTCAAAAAAGTTAACTTTTCTAAAGTTGATTAAATGTGGTAATAATTATGTCTGTGCACCTTATGTGCACTACCTCATTTAACCCTCGCAACAGGCTTGTAAGAGTAGGTATTATTATCATTTCTATTTTAGAGATGAGGAAACTGAGGTGCAGAGAGGCTAAGGAACGTGCCTGAGATTCCAAAGCGTGGAAGAGATAGAGCTAGGGTTGTTTCTCACAGCCGCACTCCCACCCGTCCGACTCCAGAATCCTAAGTCCTCAACATTATGCTCTAACTGCCCATAGGATTTGTGGTGAGGTTCTTGAAAGGATCAGATGACTTAATACATACAGAATTGTTGGTTTTGTAAGACCCCAAAGCCAATTTTTTTTTCTGTCTTTTCTTCCTTCCCTGAGGGAATTGTAGGTCTGTGGTTAATTCCTACCATTCTGTTGTCAGCGAGTCCATTCACAATGCAGAGGTTGTAAATAGCAAGAAATGAAGTTTCTTACAATACCCTCTGAGGCAATACTTTAAAATTTGGCAACTGACATGCAATTTGATCACAAATTTTACATTACGGTGTTTAAATAAATGCGCTGCCCTGCTATGGATAATGTAGATATTTCTGAAGGGCTCCTGCCTTCGAGGTAGTCCTGTTCCAACCAGACTTACATTGGATGTACAGGAATGTCTTAGCCTGGCCGATAGTCAGGGCTTACTCAACCCTGAAGAGTAGAAATGGAATTATGTGCAAGCCTGAAGAAAAATGTTCTATCTCCTCCCCCCACCCCTGCAGGACCTGGCTCGTTGGAAGAGCCGTAGAAGAAGTGCTTCTCAGGACTTAATCAAGAAAGAGGAAGAAAGGAAAAAAATGGAGAAGTTACTGGCTGGAGAGGATGGGATGAGTGAACGAAGGAAAAGCATCAAAACCTACAGGGAAATTGTCCAGGAAAAGTGGGTTCTTTCTGTGGTTGTTCTCATTGTTGAATGTACAGTATTATCTAGATGTGCTTTTCCTAAAAATCGTTGGTTATCACCATGGCTCTGACACCAATATTATACTTTCCTTCAGCTCTACCAAGGTCTGCTTTGCAATTCCTGTGACTGTTGCCTTTGTTCTTGCTTCCCCTCCCATGCCCATCCTTTAGGGAGCGGAGAGAGAGGGAGTTGCATGAGGCATACAAGAATGCACGGTCCCAGGAGGAGGCGGAAAGGATCCTCCAACAGTACATCGAGAGGTTCACCATCAGCGAAGCTGTCCTTGAACGCTTGGAGATGCCAAAAATTCTGGAAAGAAGCCATTCAACAGAGCCAAACTTATCCTCCTTCCTGAATGACCCCAACCCCATGAAATACCTGCGGCAACAGTCACTGTCTCCACCCAAATTCACTGCCACCGTGGAAACCACCATCGCTCGTACCAGTGTACTGGATGCCAGCATGTCAGCAGGCAGTGGGTCTCCAAGCAAAACTGTCACTCCCAAAGCAGTGCCTATGCTGACACCCAAGCCTTACTCCCAGCCCAAAAACTCTCAAGAGGTCCTGAAGACCTTCAAGGTAGGATGAGTTCCTTAAGGGTAGAACCTAAACGGAACCCCAGGTAATCACTGGAAGGAAGCATCTTGCCTCAAGAAGATGCAATTGTTTTTATCAAACAAAAGCAAAATGTGTTAACATGTATGATTGTGAAGTTTATGTGTCTCTGAGATTTGGTTTGCAAATAGTTAAGGGATAGATGATTCCCCTCAATTCCTGTTTTTAATACTGATGGGCTTCCGTGAGATTGGTGGTTGAGTCATCTCCATGAGCAATGTCTGTTTCATAGTTGGATATGATGCCATGGTCTCTCTATAGTAGTCATAACAAACCCTAATTTAGCAGCACCCTAGGTATCTCCAGCTATCTGGAGGTATTGCAAATTCCTCAAAACAAAATTTTGGTTGCCTTTGGCTTAAATAGAAGTATATACAGCTACCTCTCTTTTAGGAAGAAACTACCATCATATCTAAAAAGATGCTACAATACAAAAAAATAAGAATACAAGGAATACATGGGATGTACTTGGTTCTCAGATGAGACAGATTTTTTTAATTTTTTAAGTGGGAAGAAAGTATGTTGTTTTGGGGGATGGAGGGATTGCCAATGAATGTGTAAAGTGATGTACCAGAACCAAAGAATCGAAGACAGTCAAACGTCTTTTTTCTTCCTCAAATTCTAGTATTTTCCCTCACATCAGGAGGAAGTGCTCATCCTTTGTCTCAAGCTATGTTGACTATAAAGAAAAATCAGTTCTGATTGTCCCTGCACACCACATGGGTTCATAATAGAAGACAGGTGGAATTCATCAGTAGCAGACACGGACATGTGACTGTAAAGAAAGTTTGCTAAACTAAACTAATTGAGCAGTGGGATGCCATGTATCTTTCTATTGAATTTCAGAGGGAACCAAACCACACTTTCTGACTCTTGCTTAGATAACTCTGAATGTATCTTCAAAATCTGTGCCTTAGGCTTTGATGAAACAAAAGAAAAATGTCCTGGCTGTCTCATCTGGGTTGAATTGAGATGTTTATCCCTCGAAGGGCAGGGACTGTGTCCTTGTTGTTCATAGCTTCATCCTGAGTGCCTGGCATAGGTGCCTAGGCACTCAGCAACTGTTTATTGAATAAACACACTAAGTTTTTCCTGAGAAGATGAGCTACTCATCATGCAGACTCGTGCACACACAGATATACACATGATCATATGTGCTCGGCAGGCCACCTAAGTACCTCAGCAGCTGTCCTTCACCTAGGGCCCACGGTGAGGCACTGTCTGCGATTTCATGAAGGAAGGTTTGATGTTGAGGTGGCCCAGCACAGGGATAGGGAATACATTTATTTAAGTTGGTATCCAAGACAGCTGATCAATTAATCCAGATGTCCACTTCCTATCCTTAATATAAACAGCACAGTGTGATCATTTAAACAGAAGAATTAGGATAGATGACTTCATGGCAAGACTTTGGCCCTGAGAAAACCCAGTCCCTTGCCATTGTGGCAAGACAGTGTGGAGGCCTCAGGAGAGGTGGATTGAGGAACTGGATAGAGATCCTTTCAGAGCTGGGGCTCACCAATGAGCCCTCAACTCATCATAGGTCTTGATGGCTGTCAACCCTGTTCACAGCCCCACCATTGAGTGGGTGGACCCACTTGTATGGTAGTATATAAATGGAACAGTTGTTGCCAGATAATGCCAGAACTGAAGCTAAGGGGTGTGTGTGTGCGTGTGCGTGTGCGTGTGTGTGTGTGTGTTTTCTTGTGGGGAGGAGGTGGGCACAGGAGACAGGGAATACAGGCTCAGTTTCTTAGTACAGCAGATTTAAGAGTAAAGGAAGAGCAAGTAAAAGGTTTAAGGCAGTGTTTTCAAACTGAGAGTTGCCACCTGTTGCTAGGTTATGAAATCAATTTAGTGGTTTGGAATCAGCATTCTTTTTTAAAAAAAAAAAGGGAGGTAGAATAGAATACAATGTTTAAAAAACAGCCTAGTGCATCACACATAAAAAAAGGTAAATATTATTTTGCAAAACTTCGTTTCAGTTATCTTTACGTGTGTGCGTTCAGTTGTGATTTCAACTTCATGGATCACAGACAATAGATATACAAGCCACTGACTTAGGGTAAATAAACGATAACTAGCATCTGCCCTTCTGTTAGTCCTTTTAAAAGATTTTAGAAGGTTTACTAAGAACAATAGCTAATATGTACATACTTACAATGTGTCAGATACTGTTCTAAATCCTGTGCATATATTAATCCGTAAAATCACCGTAACAGCATCACTAAGGAATACTGTTATCATAAAGGTGAGGAAACCGAGGTTGAAGACTACATGGCTGTTAAGCAATAGAGCCAGGACTCACTCTGAGGCCGTCTCACTGCAGAGCTTCTTTTCAGGACCACGCTACCTACTGTCAGACCTTAAGACAGAGATTTCTAGATGCCTTTTAATAAGCCAGGCTAACCACTGTCACTCCTTCTTTCTCGCTCCCACCACCCTCCCTAGACATGGGTGCAAAACAAAAATATCTTAATATGCATGTCCTCTTTTTCTTGAAGAAACTGGGATGGTCCGGTTAACTAGAAATAGGGATTTACTGTCACATAGCATAGCACCGGGTTCCCTGCCCTCCATGATAGCTTCCAAAAAGTACCCATTGCTCCTGACCATGACAGGATAACCTGTGACATATTCCTGATCTAAGATGAGCTCCGCCTAATTTAATATGCTAATCAGGAAAAAAAAGTCTCAAAGTTGTGGATTAGCAGTCAGAAAGTAAATGAAAAATTACTGGAACCCAAATATGCCCTTGATTTTCTACACTGCAAAATAAAAGCAGACCCACAGTAAGGTGAACATGAAATGTATTCTAACGTGAAGCAGCCTGAGAAGGCAGACCACCTTTTAAAGAAGCCTTCAAAGATGGCATTTAGAGGAGCCCTAGTTTCTAGAACTGACCGAAGCATATAAAAGACCTTATTCTTTGTTGGACCGTGATTATTAAATGCTAATGATTTAAGGTGATTCTGAACGTGTTATTTTGTCATAATCTTTTGCTGGGGAATAGCATGTTCTTGTTCATTCCGGTTTTTACAGGTAGATGGGAAAGTCACCATGAATGGAGAGACGGTTCACGTTGACGAGGAGGAGAAGGAAAGAGAGTGTCCCCCCGTGGCACTTGCCCCCTCGTTGACCAAATCCCAGATGTTTGAAGGTGTGGCCAGAGTGCATGGGTCCCCCATGGAGCTGAAACAAGACAACAGTAGCATTGAGATCAACATAAAGAAGCCAAGTTCTCTTCCCCAAGAGCTGACGGTAAGAAGCAAACTTTTTTTTTTCCTCTTCGGGATAATTTCAATGTGAAATAATCTATTTAAAAAAAAATAAGTAGGTCTTGATAACGATCATTTCTTTCTAGGAAGGTGTATTGGTTTGCTAGGGCTGCCATAACGAAGTGACACGAACTGAGTGGCTTACACAACAGATATTAATTGTCTCATGGTCCTGATGGCTGGAAGTCCAAAGTCAAGGTGTTGGCAGGGTTGGTTCCTTCTGGTGTCTATGAGGGAGAATCTGGTCCTGGCTTCTGGTGGTTTGCTGGCAGTCTTTGGAATTCTCTGCCTTGTAGATGCACCACCCTGATCTCTACCTTGATGTTCACATGACACTCTCCCTGTGTGTTGTCTGTGTCCAAATCTCCCCTTTTTATAAGGACACAAGTCATACTGGATTAGGGACCTACTCCACTCCAGTATGACCTCATCTTAATTTAATTACATCTGCAAAAATCCTGTTTCCAAATAAGGTCACATTCTGAGGTAATTGAGTTTAGGACTTCCACATATAAATAGGGGGGAGGACACAGTTCAGCCCTAACAGAGGAATATAACAGAAGGTGTCATGTGTTACGAGTAAAAACCTTTTTCTTGTCCCCCTGCGATTGGTGTCTAGTGTTATAGAAAAAGAAATAAATCTCTGAAATACCTTCATTTCTGTCTTTTCAGGACCCCATCAGACTTGTTAAAATAATTTGAAAATAACTGGTGCCGCCAGAACCTGACTTTCCATCCTTGACAATATGTATGAAAGGGCATCTTTCTTATTAGTTTTAAAAAACTCATTAAAAATCAAATTAATTTTTTTATTGGTTTAGCCCCTGAAATCCAGTGTAATTAGAAGTACTATTGAATGGCCAAGCTGAAAAATGTAGGGTAATTCAAGAATAGCAGAAGAGAGAACTCAAAATAACATTAGATTTGCTTATTTGGAGTATAAAACGTCATCAAGAAGATTACACTTTTTCTTAGATCTCTCACCAGGGTTCGTGCTGGTTTTGCTGATCAAACCCCAAGTGTCAGTACCACAGGTACAGGCCGGCTTTTGGGGTAGAATAGAACTCTGTTCAGCCTTATCTGTTCTCACCAGAGGTTGATTTCTGTGGTTTTAATTTATAGTGTTTGGGTTGGAATTATAAAGGATGGGGGAAACTGTCACAATTTTTTCCCCCAGCACCTAGAAAAGTTTGGTCCAGAGAGAAACTTGTCTTCCAGCTCCAGGGCTAAGTTAAATGACCCAGCTAGCTAAACCCATCCAGAGGACTAGATATTATTTTTCTTATCTCCAGGATTTGTCTTTTGAAGAATAAAATATGTTTTCGCAGAGGAGCTGAGAGGATTTAATTCTTCCTCCCAGTGCTCAAGCCCTAGAAAGAGATTCAAAGTGGAATGGACCAAAATAACTTCCTCACCATGGTAACATGTTTGCTGGTCTCTAGGAGAAAAGTTTTGTGATCAAGGCACAGGCTGAATCCCTCAACCTGGAATTTAATTCTACTTTTCATTTGCATGAATGTTACCACCTCTGAAGAGTTCTTATGAGTTATCATGAGATGGAAGACTGAGTTCTGCTAGGAGTGTGGGAACTTTACTAGTAGAGTCAACATGAACTTATGCTCTTAAATTTAAATAAGTTCCCCCAATTAATTAGACATTGCAGTGGTAGGATTGCTTTTCTGGGACAGTTAGTAATTCTGTTCGTATTTTTCTTTTGCCACACTTAATGATGAGTGTTTCCTAAGTTCCCTTCATAAGTACCTTTCCATGACTCAATCTGGTTACTCTGTCCATCAGGCCACAGGCCCTTTGCACATACTGTTGAGCACAGTTCTTTGTCCCTGTACTTTGGAGAAGCAACAGTGTAGGAGCCACACTGGTCCCATAACAGAGGTACACAGGGATTAGTCAGGCCCAGTAGATTAATTCCAAGAACAAATCCTAAGGGCTCTGCTATCAGGCACGTGTCCATTCTCTACCTTTACCTCTGCCCTCTGACCATTTTGTTGTTTGAATCTGGGAGGAACCCTGCCCTTGGCGGAATAGATTTTTTTACCAGCAGAAGTTAAAGGAATAAGTAAAGAGACCAGATGGTATGAGGTCTAAACTTCCCACACCAACTATTTAATCTGTCTTGTTCAAAGCTTCTAACCCATTGGGGAAAAAGCTTTATCAATCCTATATGGAATCGTAAACAGAAGAAAAGGGGGTTTTACTTGCTTGTTTTGGGGTTTTACTAAACCTCCCTTAAAAAATACTCATTCTCAATAATTACTAATTTTCTTATTTTTACAATGAGCAACATAAAAAGAAGATAGCCTATTGTCTCTTACTGCCAGGCATTTTCCACCTTAACAGTAGTTGTGCTGCTATACTCTCTAATGGCAAAGAGAAGATGGATTGAAAGATGTCACATTGGTTACATTGCCCCAAAAGTATCTTGTTTCAAGAGAGGCAAAATTAGATGATCTGAAAGAAATCATGTTATTTCAGAAGTATATACGGTATAACAAGGAAAGCCCTAATCAAAAGGTGGCCTTGTGGACTTTTTTCTGGAAACCGTCATGATCCTAGGCAGCCTGAGGTCTAATCTCATGGAAGAGCCTGGGAGTCTCTTACTCTGGAAAAAACTGCCTAGTTTGGAGTGATTTCTAGTTCAATAAACCCTAGTGGTTCTGAAGAGGTCATAGCATTTATTTACCTCATGTCTAGTGCTTTAGGCTCCTGAATGAACCATGTCAGGGGCTACTACATTATTTTCTGGGTAGATAACTACCTGTATGTATCAGACTTCGAGGCAAGTTGTTAGCTGCACTTCATGAAATTTTAGCCAAAACACTCTTCATACTCGCTTACAACTTATGACACCAAAAGTTTTCCATTTATAATATTTTATCCTAAGAGCCATTTTCTTTTCATTAATTAATTTTTGGCTGTGTTGGGTCTTCAATGTGCGTGGGCTTTCTCTAGTTGTGGTGAGCGAAGTTGTGGCGCACGGGCTGAGTTTCTCCGTGACATGTGGGATCTTCCCGGACCAGGGCTCGAACCCGTGTCCCCTGCATTGGCAAGTGGATTCTTAACTACTGCGCCACCAGGGAGATCCCCTAAGAGCCATTTTTAAACCTACTCCTCGTTTTACTTCCTTCTCCATGTTCCAGGAAAAGCATTTCTTGACTGTGTTTCAGCCAGTATATTCCCATTGAAACGGTAGAATTCATTGGTCATGGCAAAATATGGTGACCAGCTTAAAACAGGAAGCTGCACTCAACAGCCTCCCAGGCCTTTTTACCAGCTTGCCTTGATTTGCTGTTTCTAATTCATTTGCCCCATTCTGTGGGGCTGTCAAAGGAATAGTGTTCTTCTTTTTAAATAGTGTCTTTCTTCCCAAAACTGCATTCCCAACAGATATACTTTTTACAAAGGAGTAGCCTCACCCACCACTAAAATGTCACAGTTCCTTCAGGGTGAGCTGGAACTATTCAAAGGGCACAGTACCAGTAGGCAGGAGCATTAATTCAGACGGAGAGGCCGAGCGGCAGAGAAGGGTGGGCACCACGCTGCAATGGGCCACGGGGTGTGAGGTTGGAGGGTCAGCCTCTTGGGTCAGCACAACCACTTTTGCGTATGACGTCATGTCTTCAGGTTCCTTCTACCTCATCTTTCTCATTAGAAACTCTTGGGACCATCGACTCTTACTTTAGAAATAGAGCCTAAATTAAGTTTGGCTTGTTATTAATTTTTAATACTCTGGTTATATCTATTGAGACCAACAAACTCCAGATCATCCTCATTTGAATCACCTTTAAGGTAATGAGATCATGAGAGCCGTTGTGCCGATGGTTGTCCGTTACCTGATAAGCATGAATAAATGACCTACTCTGTGGCCCATTTTTGAAATTGAAAAAGAAACTCATAAACTTGCTATGAGAGTAATTTTCATAAAGCAACTAGCAAAGTATGTAAAATAATATTTAATTAAGTGCTAGAAAACAGGGTTAGAAGCCTAGAGGGACATAAAACGGCAAGGAACAGGTAAGATCATGGTAGGCTGCAGTTAGTCTAGTTGGGAAGGTTTTATGTGGGTTTCAAAGTCAACTTGTAGGATTTGCATTGGAACGGAGGGGGAGCAAGCTGTTCCTCATGTTGCGACTAGCAGAAGCAAAGACCTCAAGAGGGGATCACAGGGCTAAGAGGTGATGAGGGTGACTAGATGCCATACACTCCACCCAGAGGGATTGGGGCTCCCACGGCCCCTCCCAGTTATCCCTGAGATATTTCCCAGTGGAAATCTAACACTCACTTTTTTTTTGCATTTTAAAATATTCGCTTCTGTAAGAAAATCATATCATAGCACAAATACTAGACTTGTAGAATCCAGGATTGGAAAAGAATTTGGAAGGTCTTTTAATCTAAGGACTAATTTATCCTGTTTAGTGACCTACAGAGAAATGTCTGCCTTCAAGATAGTCTAGTGTTTTCTTGATCCACTGTGAGCTATACTTGTCTTTGAATCTCTTCCTGCCTTGTTGTTGCCAAAAATGACCCTTTCCTAAAATACCTAAAGTACCCCATGCACTAGGTCAAAGACCAAACCCCCCCTGAGCCTCAGTTTATATTTAAAATAAGGATAATAATAGTATAGGCATCTGATGGTTATCGTGAGAATTCATATGTATAGAGCACTTAGCATGATGTCACAGTGACTCACAGAGGTGCCCTTAAGTTAGTTTTAACATTGTCATTCAACAAATGGGAGAAAGAAAGTTACCGTATATTTTTCAGAAGGCTGAAAGGGTGATAGGTGCAAAGTTTTTTAGGTTAAAGTAAGGTCATCAGAATCACCATATTGAACAGATGTGAATTTCAAACAAATGGGATAAATTCCATGTTGTCTTCCAACTCAGCCCGTCAGTAGCTCCAGCTGTAATTCTCTAGGAAGCAAACAGACATGAACAGCTTTTTCCAGAAGACGATTGCCCTTGC